ATACAAGAAGTAATCCGAGTCCACGGAAATTACTGTGTGTCCTTAAGAAATTTAATCCCCTCACTGTACCCGAGGTTATTAATTAATTTCTCCCAAGATAAAACGGATTAATCATGTGAAAGAAATAGCGGTACCTCAAATTTCTTTAACTTCAGCGAACATCAAAACAACAACAAGTCACACAGACTCAGTCGATCGACACTTTGATTTGTTTGAGAGAAAAAAATTATGCAGAGTAGGAAAAAATCCAGTATTTGAAAAAACGAAAATTGACTTCCTTTTATAGCCATTTTCAGCAAGAAACGTGTCTGTTCAGAAAAATCTGTTCAGACCCGTTTTATTCAGAAAGTTGTGTCTTTTAGAAAAAATAATAACTTTTCAGAAAAATGTATCTGTTAGGAAAATAACGGTTTTTCGAAAAGAGTAACAACTTTTCGGAATGATACCGTTACCCACAAATTTATAAGAGATAATATTAAAACCGAAGCCGAGCGAGCGACGACGGCGGCGCGAGGGGGCATCTTCTTCTTAGCTCTCTAAGAAGTAATAGAAGTGTTTCCTTATATAAGGACAACAATTTCCCTTTATTTTGCGGATATGGGAGAATGACTTTACTTGACAAATGACTTTTCATTTTCTCTCCAAATCCCTTACTTTTCATATTCTCTCTTTTCTTTTCCCATTCACACTTGCTAAACCCAACTATATATATATATATATATATATATATATATATATATATTCTAAAAACGTATACTTTAAATAAATATATATTAAAATAAAACAAACTTCAAATAAAGATATATAAAGAAAATAAAAACAAAACTTTAACTAAAGATAAATAAGAGAAAAAAAACAGAGTTAGATATAAATAAAAAAATCAAATTCTATTTATATATATATATAAAATGCAATTCTTATAAAGCTATAAAAATAATCATTGAAATAAATAAATACATAAAAAGTTAAAATTGAGTTTTAACCCACGTAAAATTATATATACCCTTCAACTCGCCCGACCCCATATTAATTTAAATAAAACCCCACTTTAACCTGTCTCGTATTTGCCCGCACCATACAACATTAATTCCGTCCCGCCCCACCTCGTTGCCATCCTAATGAAGGAATAACATTCAATTGACATTAGTAGGGGTGTTAATGGTATGAATAAAAATCGATTCAAATCAAAAAATTAAACCAAATCAATTAAATTAATGAATTTAATTTGAATTTTTATTTGCTTTGATTTTAGATGGTTAACAACCGATAGTATTTGGTTTGATTATGATTTTGTTCAAAAAAATAGAAGAAATAATCGAACCGAATCGACAAGTTATATACATAAAATTTATTATTAATACATACACAATAATTATATTCATAAACAATTTTAAAGATTTTATATATGTTTCATTAAAATTTATTTATAATTTACTTATGAAAAAATATATCCAAGGTGAGAACATTTTTATTATTGGTTTCATGTATATGAGTGTCTGTCGAAATTCTTTGTGAGATTAAAAATGTCATTGCGTCTTCTGTATAATGCCAAAATAGTGAATTTTTAAGTTTTATCAGTAAATTCAATGATCAAAAGTTCTGTAATGACATTCATTTTAACTATTTTTTCGTTTGAATAGATTGTTGTCACTATATTCACGTTTTAAATGATTTTTTTTATGTATGGTTAATAACCGAAAAACCGAACCAAAAAAATCAAAACAGAAAATAACCAAGCCGATAAATATACACTATATTTGGTATTGTTTGATTTTGATAATTTTAAAATCGATTAAATTGATTGATTTTAATTTTGGCCAATAACCGATCCAAACCAACCCTTGAACACCCCTAGTCATTAGAAAAGAGATAAAGTGAAGGAGTCGATGAATTTTTTGTTCATTATGAGATCTTTTCTCCTCATCTCTAGATTAGCTTTAATAGAGCTTTGCCCTTTTTGTTATTCTTTTTAGTTGTTTGTTATATTTCTCTCCTTCATGATTTTTTAAATTATTTTGGTGCTTGTTGAGTTTTCTTCGCACTGACATGTGTATGTTCAATGAAACTTGTTTGATGTTCCTGTCAAATTTAGAAGATAAAGAAAAGAAGGAAAATAATTAAAATAAAAAAAATATCTAAAACACAACATATTCAATATCGTCATGAGATATAGTCTCTTTCTCTTTTTATTAATTAAGAAATAACATTATATTATCATCGGAAAAAGAGACAAAGTGAAGAAGTCACGAATTTTTTGGTCATTTTGAGATCTCTTTTCTCTGTAATTAGCTTTCAGCGAACTTTTTTGTTTTTATTGATCTTTTCCGTTATTTGTTATGTTTCTCTTATTCATGATTTATTTTACTGTTTTGATGTTTTATTGTATTTTTCTCTCATGAAAACATGTCCTATAAAACTTGTATGTTATTCCTGTCAAATTTAAAAGGTAAAGTAAATAACGAAGATAACTAAAACAAAAAAAGATATCTAAAAAACATTCGTACAAAAAAATGAAATATTGAAAAAAGCAATAATCAAACCATGAGTTTTTACAGTGCTCAGTAAGAATAAACACATCTATTTAAGTTGGTGAATGCCTTTTAGTTTGACCATATTGTTTGAAATATTCTGAGAGCAACTACTCTACTTTTTATAGATAAGTATATTCCAAGTTAAACTTGTATGCAAAAAAGATTACTTGTGTAAAAACTTTTCAAATCCAATAATAAACTGATAAGGAATAAATCATCTTAAATCTTATAAATAAGAAAAATGTCTTTTATGATAAATAATTGGTAACAGAAGTTTTTTTGTGTTTACGCTTTAATAAGGAGGAGATTAAATACTATGCTTAATATTCTGTAAAAACTTCAAATAATATTTTGTGTTTTTTAAGACGAAGAAAAAGTAAAAAAAAAACAGATAAATAAAAATTCAGCCCTTAGACTCATACCACGTCAACAAGTCTAACCTTTCATTAGTCAATCTGTTAGATAATTAAAAAAATGGAAAAGGGTAAAAAATACCCTTAAACTATCTGAAACAGCTCATATATACCCTTAAACTATATTTCGATTCAAAACTACCTTTTCCATTATACTATTGGGTCAAAAGTACCCTTCTTATTAACGGAAGTTGTTAAATGCCACGTGGATGTCACATTGCATGCCAATAGGATTCCATTGTTACGCAGACTAAATAGAAAGGTTCAAAAATACCCTTAAACTATCCGAAATAGCTCATATTTACCCTTAAACTATATTTCGACTCAAAATTACCCTTCCCATCCAACTATTGGATCAAAAGTGACCTTATTAGCGAATGTTGTTAAATTCGACATGTGCCACGTTGACTAAATCCCTAAATCTTAATTACTCATTTTCCCCTCATTTCATTATTTTCTAGAAACGATTTCACCTCTTCTCCATCATTTCACGGCTAAGGTTTCACAGTTTTCTTCGTCGTGGGGTTTCAAAGTGGATATTCGTGGTTATAGGTTAGTAAACTTTTTTCTTATTTTATTGTATTTACAATCACGAAAATCCACTTTGAAACTCAGTTCCGAAAAAAAGTTACGCAACCTTGGCCGCGAATGACGAGAAAGTTATGAAATTCTAACTATCATACTTTGAAATCGTAAACGTAATAAAATAAGAAAAAATATTTATTAACCTACAACCATGAATATCCACTTTGAAACCCAGGCCCCAAGAAAGCTACGAAGCATTAGGTGCGAAATTAGGGGAAAATTGTGAAATCCAAACTATCATGCTTTGAAATCGTAAATATAATAAAATAAGAAAAAATATTTACTAACCTACAAGCATGAATATCCACTTTGAACCCAGCCACGAAGAAAAGTATGAAACCCTATCCGCGAAGTGAGGGAGAACGGGTGAATATATCATTTCTGAAATAATGAAATGAGGGGGGAAGTAATTAGAATTTAGGGATTTAGTTTATGTGGCAGTGTAACCTTATTGACATGCAATGTCACATCGACATGACTTTTAACAAATTCTATTGATAAAAAGGGTACCTTTGATCCAATAGTTTGACAAGAAGGGTAGTTTTGAGCCGAAATATAGTTTAAGGGTAAATATGAGCTATTTCGAATAGTTTAAGGATATTTTTGACTCTTTCTATTTAGTCTACGTGACAGTGGAATCCTATTGGCATGCAATGTGGCATCCATATGGCATCCACGTGGCATTTAACAACTTCCATTAATAAGAAGGGTACTTTTGACTCAATACCAATAATATAACGGAAAGGATAGTTTTGAACCGAAATAAAGTTTAAGGGTATATATAAGCTATTTCGAATAGTTTAAGGGTACTTTTGATCCTTTTCCCTTATAAAAATTGTAGAATTTAAAATTTTATTAACTAATTAAATGTAGACAAATTAATTGTGTAAGTGAAGCCCAAACAACACCAATTAGAAAAGAAAAGCTATATAAAAATAAATAAATGATTTTCATTTACCATGAAGGTTTTTAGTTGTTAAATATTGTATAATTTATTTAAGTAAATAAATAGCAAAATTGTTTTCAATTAAATGCTTAATTTTCTTTCTTGGAATCTATAAAACTTTTGTTATTTTTTCGTTTCATAATACCTAAGTGTCTTTATATTTATACTTAATTTGTATATAAGAGGAAAAAATTCACTTGAATGTTAGAGAGAACGTCAATCAAGATAATTCTAATAAAAAAAATTACACGTTTAATCTATATTTGTGATTCGTTCATAAATATATAAATTTAAGAAGAAAAATATTCGTGTACAGTAATATTTTTATAAGTGCAACGTTCACTTGGAGATTAATATTTTAAGAATATTTTGGTCAGCCAATATTGAGTAGTTAAAATATTTGTGTTTTTTTATTTATATATATAATTCTAGTAAAAAATATAATATGTAATATATACTATAATTAATTTGGGAATTTGATGAGAAGAAGCGAAGCAAAATGGTGTTTAACAAAGGACCAAAGTGAAAAACTAAAGGTGCATTTATTTATTTATTTAAGAGATAAATAAGAAGAAAGAATTAGGTCAGATTATGAAAAAGAAAATGTAAAAGAGGGGCCTTCATCGGTTATTTAGAAATTGGAATTTGAGAACCGCATAGGTTGTTTGTTTAAAGAAGAATATATAATGCTCCATTTACATGCATGCTGCTGTCAATTTCCCTCAGTTACAAAGGGTATGTTTATATCATATATTCATAAAAATGTATAGATCTAATTGCGGGGGATGTAACAGTTGGTGTATATAATAATATAGGAGTTGAATTTTCAAATGGTAGAATTATCCCCAAATGGAACTTGTGTTTTCCAAGGCAGAAATGGAGTGTATCAAAAAGGTGCATAATTGCAGCCTCATCACCACAATGCTGTGAAATCGAAATGGATGGTTTATGGACGACGCAACTCAATGCGCTCTATCAATTTTCTCGCCCACACACTATATTTGGAACTGTGAGTATTTTCATTTTGATTTTCATTGTTGCTATACTTATTGATCTTCTTCTTATTTGTTGAATTCATTCCCAGATTATAGGGATCACTTCCGTCTCTACTCTACCAATCAAATCCTTTGCAGATATTTCTACCATATTTTTTCTAGGACTATTAAAGGTAAAATTTGGTTTAAGTTTTATCAACATGATCCTCATTTGTGTGACGTCTTAATTTGTTTCTTCTGGTCCAGGCATTAATTCCATCACTGTTAATGAACGTTTATGTGGTTGGGTTAAATCAACTGTTTGATGTCGAAATAGACAAGGTAATTTATCTTTATCTTTTCTTCTTCTTTTTTTTTTTAATTTCTCATACCATTCTCGTTGCCCAAAACAGACGAATTAATATTGCTATTGGATTGGATTGTTACATTTTCCTCCCCACAGTAATTTTCCTCTTTTTCATGTCAGGTGAACAAACCAAGTCTGCCACTGGCTTCTGGAGAAATTTCAATGAAACGAGGCATCCCAATAGTTATCACCTCCCTACTCATGGTATACATTAATATTTTGCATGTATTTTTGGAATGCAAATTTGCTTTTTTTTTCTTGATCCTAGTATCTAATATATTTGCAGAGTTTTGGTATGGGAATTAAGTTTCAATCTCCACCATTGTTAGCTGCTCTCATTGTTAGCTTTCTTCTTGGAAGTGCATATTCTGTAGAGGTAACTTTTCTTTTCCCTTGTCATTTGATTATTTTGAACAACAACTTGGTATCAATCATTTCTAACTCAATTCAGTATTATTTTAAAGTTGCCTTTTCTTAGATGGAAAAGAAATGCAGCCCTGGCTGCAATATGCATCATGGTTGTGAGGGCTATCATTGTTCAGTTTGCTTTTTTCGCACATATACAGGTAGGTATACATGTTTTTGTAATGTCCTTATTTACCGAACCATTAACTTTTGTGAAAATTTTCTGTAGAAATATGTGCTGGTGAGGCCTATTCTCTATACAAGATCTCTGTTTTTTGCTGTCACATTTATGTGCATCTTCACTGCTGTCATTGCCCTGTTTAAGGTAATCTAATTTCAAACTAATTGGGCTAAACCAAATAATTTTTGATTAAAGCTTTGTCACTTTCACAGGACATCCCTGACGTCAACGGTGATAGAAATTTTGGCATCCAATCTTTAAGTGTCAGCCTTGGACAAGAACAAGTTAGTCAAATTTTACTCAATACATCAAGCTCCGTTATGTTGCAACTAGTTGTATATATGTTCCTGAATAATCTATCTCAGACACAGGTTTGCGAATCTTCAATATCCAACAAGAACAAAAGAATAACAACTACAACAAATACTTCTTACTATGGAGAAATATAAGCAAATATCATAACCCAATAGTGAAAATTTCAGTACTTGATAATCTCCCGAGCTAACTCGTAATGAGCAAAATATCAGTCCAAAACCATAAACTTTAGTACAAACTTAAGAGAAACGACCTTCTTTCATTTAACTGTGATATTACGTAGCCATTCTCTATTTCCTCGTAGACTATATATATAGGATTGTTCTCTCTACTCTCTATTTGTCACAACTCAAAATCCACAAGATGTGTACATACATTGCAGAGACAGTTGGGAGAGCACAAGGCAGAAGGAACACCGTGGCCTAATATTTGTCATGTCTCTAATACTTAGTTGTTGGAAAATTTCAATCCACCAAAAAATACCATCCATATTAAGTAACAAGTGAAGACTTTTAGATGTGAAATATCAATACAATACTCTATTTGAGCAGAGTATATTAATACAACTATAATGAGAAAACCTATAATCAATTTTATTTTATTTTTTGCTTTTCTTAATTTATTTATACGGTCCCACATCTAAGTCAACTTGTGTATGTGTCAACATTGAATCAAACTGTTTGTTTTCATACAAACAGGTGTTTTGGTTATGTATAAGCATGCTTGTAGCTGCATATGCAGCTGCTATGGTGATTGGAACTACTGCTACTACTCTTTCCAACAAGCTTGTCACTGTACGTTGTGTCATGACCCGCCACCTTATCTTTAAAATTTTGAGTGAAACTCTAAGTTCATGACAGTAGGCTTACATTTTTTTTCCCTATATACATTGTTTTTTAACTCATGAACACGTATTGCAGGTTTTGGGGCATTTCTTACTTGCTTGTTTTCTATTATTTAAAGCTCAATCGGTCGATATATCAAGTCAAGTATCAATAACATCTTTTTATATGTTTATATGGAAGGTGACTTGCTCTCTTTCAATTTTATTTTGCTTTCTTTTTCTACTCCCTATTTTTTTTCAATAAAAGGAAAACTTTAATTTAATTTTGGAAAAAATGACAAATATATCCTTCAACTATCATAAATGGTATGCAAATATCTATCGTCATACTTTTGAGACATTAATATGTCTACCGTCCAAAAACTAGAGTATATATACCCTTTATGCTAATGGACATACACATGTTATAATCTTATCCATCGATTCGACATTTATTGAATATCGGACCGACGGATTAGATAGCGCCACGTGTCTCTATTTAGTCTTTCGTCATAGTGAAGAGCATATATATATGCTCTAGTTTTGAACGGCAGGACACCAATATCTCAAAAGTATAACGGAGGGTATTTGCATAACATTTACTATAGTTTAAGACATTTATCCCCTTTTCCATTATTTTTTTTAAAATCTGAAACTTAGTTTTTTTTTTATGCCTGCAGCTTTTCTATGCAGAATACCTTCTGATTCCGTTTGTTCGTTAAGGTGGCAGATTTAAAATGCATGGGTGATTAAAAGTTCTTGGAATTGCTAGGGAAATGTAACTCAATTAGAATGTGATTTGCTTTATCAAATTTTTGTCTTAATTTTCCGAAATTTAGTAAAGACTCAAGCGTGTACAAATACAGTTGTTCCTCGCGTCATCCTAGTCTTAGGCTAGAGTTACATTTCCCTTTTTTTTTTGTTTTGACTAGTTTTGAGAGATACGTGTGAGACACCGGAATATCAAATCATGTGCTATCCTATTTTTTAAATAATAATGGAAATTCAAAAATAATTCTCCATTGAAGTTTCACATGGAAGATGAATTGGCTGATGTAGAAGACTTATTTGTTATTATATCCACCAATCCACAAGCAAGGGTATGTTGCACGGTAGTAGCCAGTTCAAGGAAGTGAAACTAAGACTGGAATCCCTTTTTTTTCTTTACTTTTAAGTAAGACCTGTCCTCTTCCCTTTCAACATCAAGATAATTGATGAAGATTGTGCTTTGAACATTTTCGCTGAAGTCAAAAAGATAAACATGTGGCACTTATTCTCTACTTTAAAACATTCTAAGTTAAAGGCTTATAGAAAGCGCTTTAATGAATGACGTAAGATGATGCTCGAAATAAGTGAACTAACCTAGCATTCAAGCTCTTTTGCTAGTGTTTTTGGGTTATTGCTTACAAAGACGTGTACATGAAGTAGCAAATTCGTAAGCTGTGACAAAATTGTGGGTTCATGACCTGCTTTACGCATATAGTTTAGAAGTCTTGGGCTAAAATATAATGAATTCAATCTGGAATAAAGCTCCTTACACAGGAAAGTACAAGTTGGTATTGGGGAATCAGAAAGAAGTCACAGTCCGAGTGGAAAACTCTTTGAGCGGACAGTGTTGATTGAGTTTTTGCTTCTACTTATGCTTTGCACAACACATTTTTCAATGAAAATAGAGCGCTCTCTCTCTGTATATATGGACCAAAAACATAATTTTCAGATTCTTACATTATTAAAAAAAAAAAAATTCTTGCTCACACTCCAAATTACAATCACAAATATATTCATACAACATGAATTTAGCGACACACATTTATACTGTGAATGAATGACATTTCTAGAAGAATTGCATCTTCAAATGAGTTCCTCCAATTTAAGGAGGATGAGACGTGTGTTAGTGCAAAGGAAAAAACTTGAAGAAACAATCTTGCACTTCAAAAGTTGTTCATTTCCGAAGTGTTGACAACATGAAGGTCACCATAACCAATAGTAGTCATGGTTATGTTTATGAAAAACTATGAACAAATCCTAAATACGAAACAACGGGGAAGTTATGTTATTATCCAGATAACGAATAAATTAATAGCATACAAAAGACGAGACATTGGAATATATTATTCTCTCCGTCCCAATTGCTGTCAGTCTTCCTCTTGATTAACAAATCTCCTTCCTGCTAAACAGGATGGACTGAACTCAAAATTCTTTAGATGCGAAAATAACGAAGAATCAAAAAGTACGGTGCAAGGGAAAATAAGAAAGAAAAGCAAAAGCCAAAACTAACAACAAACGCAAGGAAGAAACCTATCACTAACAACAAAGAGTGGTAGATCATGTAATGAAGAAGAAACTAAGAGATGTAACCTTAACGTGCTACTCCGAAATATGAAGCAGGACAACCTGCTAGAAAATGAAGACAAAATCGAAAGAAAAGAGAAATTCATATAAGTTTCCTATTTATATGAGCATATAAAATTGATTGCAATACCATCAAATAATTATTAGCTTATGATACGACAAAAAATTCGTAAAAAGATTACAACACATTAACAGATAAAAGACAAAAATTAAGAAGCTACATTAGAAAATTGAAATGAAAGAAATTGTTTCTTTGGAGAATTTTCACAAAAAGGTAGAGGACAAAAGTTGTCTCCATTAACAAATTTTCAAAAAGTCAAATTTACCCTTACCTTGAATTTTAATTACAAAAAACAAGCATGTTGATACTTCTGCTACACTCATGCTTTTAATATAGTGGTCGTATCTATATACTAGGTAAATTATTCGTGTTTCGCACGGAATTGAACTATTTTATTAGGTTTACATAAAATCATTCGATAATATTTATATATTAGATACATAATTGGCAAAAATATTTATCTTAAGGCAAAACGTTTCTCCGAAATCTTAAAGTGCTATATTTTTTAAAATTTTTATTTTTGTTATACAAAAATTATGAGTCATAGATAGATTTTAAGTATAAGAAAGAAGTTTAAGAAAATCTCCCTGAAAATAGTGGTAAGATGTAATGAAAAATTTTAAATTCTAAAAACTCATAAAGAACAACATTAGAATTTAAAAAAGAGACCAGAGAACGTTGAACAAGAACACTCCCAAGTAAAGTGGAACAACATGTCCATACAAGATCATAATTAACAAAATTCAAATGCATGATCTTGGACTCCTTTTATTATGAACCTCAATAAGTCCCTTTTTATTATTGTATACCATATCAAGTGTATGCGAAAAATGACCCTAAAATTGTTATTATCATAAATGTTTTTTTATCATTGTCTCAAAATAGTCATTACTATTTTTAAGTTTTCATATCACTGGCCCCAACTTATTTGAATTAAAAGATAGTTATTGTTATAGTTATAGTATGTTGTTACAGAAAATTAAAACAATTATCAACCAAGCAATAAGTGACATCTAAATGTTCACAACGGAATATACTAAACTAAAATTTTTACACATAACATATGGAAATCTCACAACATAATTTTGTGAGCATTCGAACACACAAATATTCAAAAATAATAATAAAGATGATCTTACTTTCCTAACATTTAAGAAGAAAAAGACATGTCCTAAATATATTTTTCAAAAAGATAGTTTTTCGGATAGTATCGAAGTTTACAGTTCACAAATTTAATTGAAAGAAGTCATAAAGAGTTCTTACTTCTTTATAATAAATTTAAAAGTTTATCATAACAATGAGTTATCACTATAATAAAAATGATATTTAGTGATAATTAATAGCTTAATTATCAATAAATATGTATTTTCAGAGGCAATTGATACTCTGTATAAATGTCCCTAAAGTGTATAACAACATTGAATTCAGTGACAATTAATTATTGTCGTTAAATGTTGTAATACTCTTTGTGAATATGCATATTTAATGCCCAATAATTTTTTTTTGTTATAGTTAATTTTGAACATTTGTTAGTTTCACGAAAACATGATCTCTTATTATGCTGAAAATAGAAGAGAAGAAGAAGTATCACGAATTAGTTAACTTGCAATAAAAGATATGGACTAATTGTCTCTATACAAATATTCTAGAAATAGTGCAATGACATACAAAATGTTTGTACCTAAGAAAAACTAATCAAAATAATATACTAATTGTGGCAAGCAAGAGAACAATCATTTTGGTTCTTTAACAAACTTCCTCATTAGTTCTGTATTAGTTATCAAATATTTGTTGTTGTGTGCTATCAAATATAGCACAACCCACAAATAACTTCCCCAAAAGTACATGAAGAAACCCTAACAAAAGGGACAAAAAGAGAAGATAAATTTTCAATCTTCTCACTGAAATTTTGAAGATAATTAAAAAAGTCACCAAAATAGCAAAAAAGAAGTTGCAATAGATACATAAATTACTATGATTTATCGTAAAAAATTAAGCTTCATGAAATAGGAGGAAGAAAACTTTGAGAAATGAAATACACTTTATACTAAGCATAATTAATGTATTTGAATTCGTAAAAAACATACAAATAATAATGATAGAAATAAAATATTTGTTTACTAAAGAACCAAATGTAATGAATTCAACCATCAATCATTTCAGTAGCGTTATGAGTTGTGCCCTAAGAGGTCCAAGAGTTCTAATGTCGCATTATAATTGAAATCAATATGCTTTGTTTATATGAAGAAGCCTGTAGAAATGGAAAAAAGAGAAGATAAATTTTCAATCATCCTTGTTGACACTTTAAAAGAGTTAAAAAAGGTCACCAAAATAGGAAAAAATTTACAATAGTTAGATGAATCAGTATGACTTATAGTGAAGATTAAGCTTCATTAAAACTTCAAGAATGAAACAAACTTCATAAAAGCTCAATTAATGTATTTGAATTTGACTACCCTATAGTGGGAACAAATTATAGTGGCAACAAATTCCTCTATTTATAGACAACATAGGATAGTGTGAACAAATATTTATTGTGCCTTATTGGAAAGGTCAAAACCCTTTGGAAAAATTACAACCCTTCAAAAAGGTCTCAACCTTTCATAAAAGTCAGGATTTTTCATAAAATTCAAAACTCTTCATAAAAGTCCCAAATTTTCAAAAAAGTTACAACTTTTCATAAAAGTCACAACTTCTCATGAAAAGAGAAGACTACTTTTGAAAATAAATAAATTTAAAAGAGAATTCTGATCTTTGATGGCGTCACATAGGTGAGCCTAAGATTCTCTTTTATTTGAATATATGATATATATAAGTACATATTACTACAAATTTTTTGGTGCTATTATATAATCAATTTTTGAACAACTAATTACACACGAAAGAATATAATCAACTCATTTATTTTTGGAGTCAGACAATACATATCATCATAAATAATAAATGATAAAATTTGAGAAAAAAAATTGTCAACTAAATTTACATGAAAGAACATAGTACATTTTTGTGTGCATATTTAATGGGGTGGCCATATCATTACTTATTCATCCAACCTATGAAGACTACCGAAGAAAGTTTGATTAGATAAATATAATTTGTTTGATTATTTCTGATTGTTTAACATCAAATATTTAGTAAATTAGAGTCCGAGGTTAAAAGGATCACTTTTTTTTTCAAAATACATAAAGGGTCACTAATTTTTTTAATACCAAAATGAACAAATCGCTGCCCCATTTGCAATATCCTTGCACATTTTAACCCCTTTAACTCCGTCAAAAAATGATATTTTCTTAAGAAAATTGCTACACGTAACACCTTGCAAATCAAATTAACTAGGAAGAAGCTAAGGATTGGAAACAATCACTTTTGGAAAGAATGAAAGATCTGGAAATTTTCTTAAGTTAAGGAAGGTTGAGTTTTGGCCAACTTCAAAGCAATAATAACTCCTATCTCAAGAGGAGTTAGGTGTACATTGAGATATAATTGGAAAGCTCTTGGAATATTCTTTCCAACGCCAACGAGTTTGCACGATTCCAAGTTCATATGAGTGAGTTATGACCTCTAGAAGTTGCGCTGTGCGATTAAGGAAAGTCTAATCCAGATTTTTGAAGGGTCAATTAGTTTTTT